GCTCCTTCATTAGCAGGTAGCAAGTTGTAAGATACCCCAGGAAAGTTTGGATTCTGACCTGTCACTATCTGCACTGGAGAAAATCCACTGACATTGCACAGTGTGTTCTTGGCATTGATTGACCATGCAAGTGCTATCTTCAATGGAAACCCGTCATACATCATTTTAAGCACTGATTTGTCAACCACAGCATGGTTTCTTTCACATAAGCCATTTGACCAAGGTGAGTAGGCACTGGTAACACAAATTTCAAAGTTGAGTTGTTCACTGAGATCATTAAGTTCATTGTTTGCGAATTCTCCTCCATTGTCCACTAATATTTTTCCTGGAGGTCCCATACCTGCTGCAATCCATTCCATAGTAAAGGCTTTTATTACTGTCTCTGGCTTTTTGTTGGAAATCACCCTAGCTTTGCAGAATCTTGAGAACATATCAACAATGTAAATCACATAACCATTGATTCCAGTAAATTGTTTCAAATCAAGAGCTACTACCTCATTGAACTTCGTTGCCATAGGTAATCCAACGACTGGTGTGGAGGGTGTTCTTTTATATCTCGCACAGGCATCACATTCTTTTAGCACTTGATCAATCACCTTGTTCACATTTTCACCTTGTACGTTTGCATTTTTGGTAATCTTTTTCAGATTCTCTGCTGAACAATGACCCAGCTGCTTATGAAGTTTGGTAATACTGCTGACTGTGTCATCTAGATTGACTAGATTACATTGCTCTTCTATAGCAACTTCATTATAATCCCATAGAGATATGCCAATCAGACCTGACTCGGTTGTTATAACAGGGATCACCTCTCCATCTACTTCAATCGTACTTGTACCAAGGTCTAATTTAAACCCTCGCTTTGCCATCTCTTCTTTGGAAATCAGAAATGGAATATTCCTTTGCACTATATCAGCCCAAAGGAATGTCTTCTTTCCGGCAATTATACAAGGTACTCTCACCGCATCTGCGGCAGCAATAGGGTCACTACCTCCAAAACTGTATTTTGAACGGGCGTCTGACACTTTCAGGAGTGCTTTGTCCTCTTCTGTCAGGTTATCTATGTACTCACGAATCCATTCTTCGCCAACTACATTCTTCGAGCAAGCAGAGTCTAAAAGTGCTACCTGATGGCATTCTGCTGTCTCCATCTCTGAAATCTCTCTACATTCATTAACATTTTCTGATCTATCTGAATGAGGACAATCTTTAATCAAATGCATTACTGATTCGCATCTATTACATCTCAACCGGGGGTTAAACTTCTGAGTTGCCCTAGAGTCGTCAGCTGTCTTATATGTCTTAGAGTACTCTTTTTTGAAACTTCTAGAGTTATCTCTTCTTCGATCATTATCTGAATATCTCTTTGGCTTGTATTCTCCTTTGCCATTATCCCTTTTGTCACGATTAAATCTTGAGATGTGATTGTTGTATGATCTGTTATTATCTGTTCTTCTCCAAGCCTTTCCTCTATTTCTCCAATTGGTGTAGTAGGCTTCCTCTTCTTCAGACATGTTATCAGGATCAGATGATGAACGTGTAGATTCTGACGATTCAGAAAAAAGTCTCTCACCATTGAATACTGGCTCTTCTTTGATGGGCGTATCACATTGTGGTCTCTTTTCAACCTCACGGATTCCTTCACCAAAGTATTTCTTGATTGAATTCATCATATCTTCAACAACAGACTCTGTTTTAACTAACTCAACCCCAGTCATTACCAGCTTTTTGTCGTTTGCTGATAAACCGGATCTTTCTAGCATGTGTAATGCTAACACAGTTCCAGGAAGAGTTATCTTGCTAATTTTCAAGTTGGTGTTGGCTTGATCAAAGTTATTGAGAAAGCTTGACATATCTTGACTGTCCTTTCTCCTAAGATTGATAAAATCCGACCAGGATTTCATCATCTTACTGGTATCATCTTTCCTGTATGTTCTATCTAATAGCTTCATGATGTTTTGTACTCCTTCTCCGTCAAGAACATCGATGTCTTTGTTTTTTACTGCTGAGTTGAGCTTTGATACGATATTATGATCAGTGTGTTGAGATACTAGGTTGAACAAGGCATACCCTTGTTCTGCGGGGTCTACTTTTCTGACTGCACATAATTTGTCCCACATCTCAACTTGTAGTCTCCATTCCTCATAACTCATAGATGCTTTCCATTGCGGTGGGGCTGTAAGGCGGGCTGCTGGCTGTTGGTACTGCACTTGTATTGGCTCTGGTTGCAGTACTGCTCCTTGAACATTTGATGATGTTGCTGTATCAGGTGGTGGATTACTTTCTTTTTCATCTTCACTGTTTACCATGTTTTATTGGTTAGACGGTGCAATGATAGGCAGTAATTGTAGTGTAAAAACAGCCCCACCACTCCTATGGAGATAGATGGTTAGTCATCTTAATAAATAAATAAATGAATATAAATACAAATACAATCCATAATAGAAATAGAAACACTGCAGCGATGTGGCCCTCGCAGCTCAGTGAGAATACTAACAAAACAGACAGAACCTGATTCAGAACTAGAACCAGACAGGGAACCTAGCACTTATCCCAAACAAGTTTGGTATGGAGACGACTCTGCAGCAGGGGGTAAACTTGATCAACTCATGAAATGGTGGGAGGATCTAAAAAACCATGGTCCCATGTATGGGTATTACCCAAAGCCCAGCAAGACATGGTTGATAGTGAAACCAGAGCATGCTACCAAAGCTAAGGAACTCTTTCCAGATGTACAGATTACTACCAAAGGCCACCGTTATCTTGGGTCATATATTGGATCAGAAGAAGGAGTAAAAGAGTTCATATTGAAGGAGACAGAAAGTTGGAAAGCAGACATTCTAGGGCTCGTCGATATAGCTGCAAACTAACCCCAGCTTTTTTTTATATATCCTGTCATCACTCCTGGAGTAATGGATATTATATGTTTATATCAATAAATATGATAATCAATAAATTAGAATAGAATCTAGTCTTCTTTTCAGCTCACTCTTCTGCAACCTCTTCCTCTACATTCTCAACCTCATCATCAACTTCCTCATCTTCATCATCAACATCATCACCCCTGTCTTCATCGCTGGTGGTGTGTGCGAGATTTAGGTCCAGTTCGTCAACAGGTATTGCTTTCTCATAATACCGTCCTCTGTGTCCTCTCACTGCAATCAAAACTGTTTTAAGTAGCTCAAATCGCAAACGACGTCTAAGATTTGCCATGATGAGGCTTTTGTCCTGGCTGGTCTTGGCTGCCAGAAGTGTTGTCACTCGTTTAAGGAACATGGTAGCCTGTGGGCCCATACCTCCGGTGGTCGAGAATACAAGGCCACTGCAGGTTCCTTTTTCGATCTGTACACAGCGGTCTCCATATTTCCTTTCTTTCTCTCTCTCATGCTTCTTGTACATCTTTGCTGGGGTGTTATGGTTAGCGTTGGATTTGGCTCCGGGGTGTAAAACCCTCATATCAAAAAATGCCATCTCCATTGGTGACCACAGACCTCTAGCTGCAATGTCAAGCCTTGCCCCATCATCCAGAATGGTACCAACTAACCCCAGCTAGCTTACTCCGCTTTCATCTACGGAACCTCCAAAAGGTGGAAATTTGTTTGCCGTACCACCCCAGGGATTTCTGATCACCTAAAACTCTTGGAATATTGTAATATTATTTATACCAGCCATTATGGGCAAAAGTTTTGCCTGATCAGATTAGAAAGATAGCTTCACTTCCCGCAAGAATGGGCGGTCTGAGCATTCCTGACTGCACATCAACAGCAGAGATGGAGTACTCTAACTCAGTAATCTCTATCAGGGGTTACAGAGGTACCAAAACTCTTCCACCCACAGCGATAAGTGATTTGGACCTTAACCTGATTAACACTCCTAAACCTTAAAAGGTCATGGAGTGCTTGTTTGGTGGGGGTCTTAACTGCTTTTTGTTGTGATGTGAATTTGTGGATTCTATTTTTAGTTGACCATTTTTATATTACAAAGGGTTATATCTTTATATTTTTATACCCCAGTTTTTAAAACTTGTACCATTTTTATAGCATTTAAGCCGGGTTAATCTATTGTATTAGTTTATTCATTTTTCGAGGGTGTCTACTGTCTATCCTTATAGCTAGACAATTACCATTGCTGAAATTATCTGTATACTGTTCCATACATTTTATTGTCATCTCACTAGAAAAGCAAAAGTATGAAATTTTACGGACGAAATGATCCCAACGCTTCGGTAGGTAGTTGTTACACCTTTCACAAGCAAGAGCCACTTTGGTCTAATTTGTGTGAGGTGTCTCAGCTACATGGGTTGGACTTCCTCCTTTTTTTCTTTTAAAAAACGTGAGTACAATGACAGAGTTCCTAATGTGGAAAGGTCACCTTCACGCCACTGGTTATCAGTACTACTGAAAGGCTGAAATACCTCGCTGAAAAGTTGTAGGTTTATAACCTACCAAGACTGTCTTGGATATATTTTTTGGAATCAATATTTTACGAGTATCACCCGTTAAGATGAAAATATCAGCCTTAAAGGCCAAAGGTACTGTGGTGTGATGTTATTTGTCAGACACGGTCTGTGATTTGATTTGCTCAGAACCTGTATAATCTCTATGATCAGGGGTTACAAAGGTGCCAAAACTCTTCCACCCACAGTGCGACAATAAGTGAATAACTTTAACCTGATCAACACTCCTAAATCTTAAAAACCCACAGTGTTTCACCTTATAACTGGACAATTACCATTGCAAATATGAAATATTATGTGTATATTGTTTGAATAATTTTAGCTATATTGGGGACATATTATGTCTATCACTCTTTGGACAATGTTTACCCCCCCCCCCCCCCCCCCCCCTCCCCACAGTTTTGTTATCCAGCTTGCTAGTCAATGGCTCGCTTCTCTCACAAATGCGGGAGAGAAGTATATACCGGAAAAATTTTTCCATTGTTCCAAAGTGGTCTTAACCTTATAACTTCTAATATAATATATAATATTGCTTTCCAGTATGATAATAAATCAAATGTTAAGCCTTCATGAAATGGAGTCGATTAAAAGTCCTACCAGGAAGATAAGAACACAATTAGAAATACTGCTTCACAGCAAGAAGTGTGTCTCACAACCTTGCGATGTGGCTAATTGTGGGGAGTTTAAGAGTGTTCTCCTGCACATGGACACTTGCAAGGAGGGCAGAGCTTGCCAGGTGAGTTATAAATAAAACGAATGAATATTTGTGAAACTTGTGATAAATACAGGTTATTGCATGGAAAATGATTGCTCAGACTACCATTTTTGACAATGCTATATAATATAGCATTGTCATATTTTTATAAAACAATTCTGCAGAAGGACTTAGATTCTGATAAAACATGTCAATATATTGACATGTCCAGACCACTTAAATGTTAGACAGTATTATCTAAACGTTAATTTCAGGGTGTACACTGTGCCTCATCTACACAGATATTAAGACACTGGGACACATGTCAGAATGAAAACTGTATCCTCTGTTCCCCCATCAGAGATAATGCCAAGCTGAATGAGAAATACAGCACTGAGACGCCTAAACCTATCAGAGCAGCAGATCCTCCCCCCTTTCAGAGTTGGTGAGTTGTTGACACATTTATTTATCTAGCAAAAGTGTACTCCTTGTCCCTGTGTCCCTGTGATAGTGTGTTCTAACATTAACTGAAAGTAAATAGAGTTATATATATGGTATTCCATTGTACACTTTTGATTTATATACAAAACATTCGAATAATTCAATTAATATTGGCTTTTGCTGGTAGGATTAAAGGGAGGTTGGCTAGGTAATAGGTTAAAGCGGTGATCAGTAAATGTTGCTGAGAATACAAATACCTGTCCTGAAATAGTGCTCTGTGCGTGTGTCGTGTATATATATACTGTGTAGTACGTGAGCTCCATTGTAATTTCGTTATTGTATGACTACACACTGATATAACGCTATAAAAGCTAAAGTAATTTTAAGGCATTACATAAGGTACGCATCGAGTTTTAAACTGAATAAAATATAATATATATTATTATAGAGTCTTGTAATGAAGAGGTGGACCTGGGTTAGTGTTGAGATTGCTATTTATCCATTTCCTTGAACATTAACGGTTGATTTAACTTCACATGCGTCAGGCAATTAGGTAACTGTGTCGTAACCATATTTATTGATAAAGTGGAAGCCATTAGGCCACCCTCCCCTCTCCTACTCCCTTGGCATATATTTGACAATTTTAAAATGAAAAAAGTTAATAAATAGATGTCTGGTTTAGTTTTACAGAGGGTAAAGAGCTCCACCACAGTTTTACAGAGGGTAAAGAGCTGCACCACAGAGCTGCACGGTGCAGCCTGCACCACTAAAGATATGCTGTGTTTACTAGTGACCACAGGGCCATTTAGACTTTTGAGACACACTATTTAAGTAATTAGTAATAGAGTGGGGTATAGTTTTTAATATACAGTAAGTTATTAGTTGACTATGTATTACTCGATTAAATGTTTGCTTCTGCGTTGTGACCATGATAACACGTAGTAGCAATGTTGTTCTAACGCACACAGACACAGCTACTACTACTACTACTACTACTACTACTACTACTACTACTACTACTACTACTACTACTCTACTCTACTCTACTACTACTACTACTACTACTACTACTACTACTACTACTACTACTACTACTACTACTACTACTACTACTGCTACTACTACTACTACTACTACTACTACTACTACTGCTACTACTACTACTACTACTACTACTACTACTACTACTACTACTACTACTACTACTAGATCCTACAAATTGTTGTACTCTCCTTTCACCAGTGTACACGTCATTTTAGACTACTAGTTCTTCTTTCCTTGTTTTTATTGGCCTTTTGTTCTTAACCTCATTACACACGGTTAGCAAGCTGTTTCCACTTCACTTTCCTTAACTAGGCTTATTTGCCACCTCTTTTGTAGGGACTACGGGTGGAAGATGAATAATTGAAATTCCAACAGCATCTTGTTCCCTTCATTGTGCTGATTCCGGGAAGCATTCTGTTTACGCTCTCATCATTCTGTAGAATGAGATATCGTTCATTTAAAATTGGGTAATTATAGGCCTGTCAAGGATTGTAGCCCAATTAAGAGCTGATCAATTGCAGCTCCTTGTGCCATATAAGGGATAACTGAGGTCACGTGACAATCGGTCCTACAGATTGACATGTTTGTTTAGGTGTACCCTTTTTGGATGGTATTAGTTTACGTGACCGGCATATGTGTCACGTGAATAGTAGTATTTAAAGGCAGTGAGAGAGACTGTCGGGGACTCTTTCTTTGGTACGAATTTTCTTACCGTATTACTCTTGATACGTTTTGGATTCCTGACAGCTTGCTGGAGGGAATTTGCGGCCAGAAGAAGCGAAGGTATTATTTGTTAAAACTATTGACGGTGGCTTGTGTAAGATGTGTAATGTGATACGTGCGCATGATACAATATAATAGTGTGTAATATATAGTGCGCCACTGTTATTTGTTTTGAAACTTCCCGCCAGCCAGTCTGAAGTGACTCGCAGTATGTGCTGATAATACCTTCGGTTCCTTGTGGGAAAAATCTTCAAATTATCAGCTCTCAGTGTCGACGAGTTTTAGTGCATATAATTCCCGGAAATAGTTATATAAGGTTAATTGAACTGAATAATGCGCACACTTAATAGAACGTGCATATTAAAATGACTTGCTGTTCTTTAGGTGGCGAGGTTTTCAAGCAGCTAATTCCTTCTTACTGAAGGAGTTTACTTTTACACTATTGGAACCTGAAAAAGGGAGTTGTACTTGTAACTGCTATCTCGAGTTAAACTCCATCTTAATTGGCGTAACTTATTTAGGCTATTTCACCAACCATCAGGATTGAGCACAATACTTGTAATAGTTAAGAAGTTTAAAGGAAGCTTCAAGTTCCACAGCTTCTCTTCTCAATACAGCTCTATATACGACACTATAATGACGTAGAATAAGCTTCATTTCAGCCGACAGAAAAGAGACAGTGTACATTTTGTTTTCTACATTTCTTGGAAATAATATTATCAGTACTACGAACTGTTATTTAACAGTGTTATTAGTGCTCTGAGAAACTGTGTTATTAGTGCTCGGAGAAACTTCAGTCATTTTACTTATCTCTCCTGCTTGTAAATAGTCATATTGCATTAACAATGACATACTACTGTAGCCTTAATAAGATGTTTACTTTCATAGAAAATACTAGCAACACAAACTATCACAATGTCTGCTTTTCCTCAGAAACTAAAACATTTTCCAAGAAGTTGACCTGGTCACTACTAATAATTCAATCTATCAAGATTCACATTGGTTGTAATAATGGTTATGAAACGTAAGAAGCTATTGTCTGTAAATGAAATGTTCGTTCGCGTTCTAAATAATTCTAAATCTCAAGAGGACTGAACATTCATTTGACATATGTTATATTATGTAGCCTACAATAATATGTATAATGACAAGAGTTACAAGAACCGCCACACTGTGAAACGGGCCACCGGCCACAGTCCGTGCTAATTAAATAGTTAAAACTTTGTGTCTGATAAATCAGATCCAATATTGTTGAACCGTAATTACTCCTTGCAGATACCTGGTGTGCGTTAAGGAACAATATTGATCATTTATATCTTAGTTTATATAGAGATTATAGTCACTAGTTACTAGCTAGAGCTCTTAATAAAATATTGAAATTTAAACTCTAGTTGGTAAATGATTTTAGTTCACGAAATGCAATAATTGTTTCAACCAAGCCCTATCGGAAGGAACAATTATTACATTTCATCTCTATCTAATTAACTTGGTTAAAATGAATATTTACATTCAGTTAATATTGAATATATCATGCAGTAAGCAGTTTGTACCTGTTTTTGAGCAAGGTGAATATACATTATCCGTGAATGTAATCCGTCCATCCTGACACATAGCCTTCACGTTCACATCTTTTTGAGCATGTTTCTGTGAACAGCTGTAAGTTATTTCAGTTCCATGTTCAGCCGGTAGTTGGGACTGAGCCACTATGATGTTCAACTGAGGGTCCAGAGGAGTGTTGCAACTAGCTGAAATAATAACATTCTGCCCATTCAAATTAGTTAGAAAGTATTCGGGATAGTTGGTACTGGTGAACTTCTATAATTTATAATAAATAAAATAATTTATAATAAATTAAATTTATTGTTGTTTCAGACTAGGATTGAAGTTTGATAGTATTACATAATACACATTATATATAGCTCAAATACCGCTGAAATAACTTAGATTGAAGACCGATTTTAGAAACTACGACCATGATTGAGGATGTTTAAATGTTACTACTTACTACATCCACTTGCTTCACATCCAGAACAGGTTGCAGATCCAGCAGCACTGTATTTCCCAGCTTCACAGTCAGAACAGGTTGCAGATCCAGCAGCACTGTATTTCCCAGCTTCACAGTCAGAACAGGTTGCAGATCCAGCCTCACTGAATGTTCCTGCTTCACAGTTAGAACAGGTTGCAGATCCAGCAGCACTGAATGTTCCTGCTTCACAGTCAGAACAGGTTGCAGATCCAGCATCACTGTACTTTCCAGCTTCACAGTTAGAACAGGTTGCAGATCCAGCCTCACTGAATGTTCCTGCTTCACAGTCAGAACAGGTTGCAGATCCAACCTCACTGAATGTTCCTGCTTCACAGTCAGAACAGGTTGCAGATCCAGCCTCACTGAATGTTCCTGCTTCACAATCAGAACAGGTTGCAGATCCAACCTCACTGAATGTTCCTGCTTCACAGTTAGAACAGGTTGCAGATCCAGCAGCACTGAATGTTCCTGCTTCACAGTTAGAACAGGTTGCAGATCCAGCAGCACTGAATGTTCCTGCTTCACAATCAGAACAGGTTGCAGATCCAACCTCACTGAATGTTCCTGCTTCACAGTTAGAACAGGTTGCAGATCCAGCAGCACTGAATGTTCCTGCTTCACAGTTAGAACAGGTTGCAGATCCAGCAGCACTGAATGTTCCTGCTTCACAGTCAGAACAGGTTGCAGACCCAGCAGCACTAAATGTTCCTGCTTCACAGTTAGAACAGGTTGCAGATCCAGCAGCACTGAATGTTCCTGCTTCACAGTTAGAACAGGTTGCAGATCCAGCAGCACTGAATGTTCCTGCTTCACAGTCAGAACAGGTTGCAGATCCAGCAGCACTGAATGTTCCTTCTTCACAGTCAGAACAGGTTGCAGATCCAGCAGCACTGAATGTTCCTGCTTCACAGTCAGAACAGGTTGCAGATCCAACCTCACTGAATGTTCCTGCTTCACAGTTAGAACAAGTTGCAGATCCAGCAGCACTGAATGTTCCTGCTTCACAGTTAGAACTAGTTGCAGATCCAGCAGCACTGAATGTTCCTTCTTCACAGTTAGAACAAGTTGCAGATCCAGCAGCACTGAATGTTCCTGCTTCACAGTTAGAACAGGTTGCAGATCCAACCTCACTGAATGTTCCTGCTTCACAGTTAGAACAAGTTGCAGATCCAGCAGCACTGAATGTTCCTGCTTCACAGTTAGAACAGGTTGCAGATCCAGCAGCACTGAATGTTCCTGCTTCACAGTTAGAACAGGTTGCAGATCCAGCAGCACTGAATGTTCCTTCTTCACAGTTAGAACAAGTTGCAGATCCAGCAGCACTGAATGTTCCTTCTTCACAGTTAGAACAAGTTGCAGATCCAGCAGCACTGAATGTTCCTGCTTCACAGTTAGAACAGGTTGCAGATCCAGCAGCACTGAATGTTCCTGCTTCACATTGAGAACAGGTTGCAGATCCAGCAGCACTGAATGTTCCTGCTTCACAGTTAGAACAAGTTGCAGATCCAGCAGCACTGAATGTTCCTTCTTCACAGTTAGAACAAGTTGCAGATCCAGCAGCACTGAATGTTCCTTCTTCACAGTTAGAACAAGTTGCAGATCCAGCAGCACTGAATGTTCCTTCTTCACAGTTAGAACAAGTTGCAGATCCAGCAGCACTGAATGTTCCTTCTTCACAGTTAGAACAGGTTGCAGATCCAGCAGCACTGTACTTCCCAGCTTCACATTCCTTGCATTGCTTTGAATTGGTGTCCATATAATAACCTGGAGAACAAACTGAAAAGTAGAAATTTGTGTTAAGTGCATACTAGTTACTACTGTCTACTAGTGTTAATTGTAACAAGTTTAAAGTTAGTTGATTATACCGCGGAATGAATTTGAATGAAAATTTAAATAAGCTAAAAGATAAATCACCTTTTCCCCCGATTATAGCTATCTCATTCAAAGAAAATAATCCTCCTTGTGTTTTCACTATCTTGATCCTATCTCCATATTTACAGTTGGATATAGAGGCAAGGTTGTCAGACGATCCCCTCTTTGTGTACACTGTGAGGGTGAATTTCCCGCAATCACCCCCCTCACAGGTACACGAGGCCTTGTCAGGGCAGAGCCAGGTTTGTTTAGCAGTACCATCACCGATATACCTAACCAATTGTTCAACACAATATACCTGGTCTAGAGCTAATTTAAACCAGAGCTCATCTTTACCATCAGCTAATGTTGTAGCCTTTGTCTCCAGATCCAGGTCTATAGCATGGTTAGCAGAGTATGCCTTCTCGTTGTCATCTTTAGTGCGAGATTGTGTAGCACTAACTGGTGCTATCTCTCCGGCTACCCTCTTTCTAGTAGTCTTACCACAGTGAGATAAAGGGATACAGAGAAGAACCAATAATGGCAACTTTATCATTGTGTCTAAATAGGAAAGTTTCAAACATTCAGATAATGAAAGTGATAGGTTTAGTTTGGGTTGTGTTTGTATGATCAGCTATATCAGCTATATCAGCTATATCAGCTATATATATGCTATATCATGTCATGTATAATGTATATGTATTAAAAAACAGTGATAGGAACAGTATATACTAGAAGCATTACATTAGGAATAATGAATGTATTCTGCTTAAATAGTAACATTCCATGTAATAATATTGAGATATCATTATATTACGACATAAAAGTGCGGCGGGTGCAGAATCGCACTTTAAGCCGGTTCCCGCACATATATTCGCACTAAAAGTCGTTTTTCCCGCACTACGCAAACTCAAAGTTTGGAGCTTCCACACAATTTTCACAAATAGGGAGGGGGGAGGGGGGCCATAAAAATGTATGCCATTTCCGACACAGAACTTTAAAACCAACTAGCTGGACACTAGACCAACTAGTTGGACACAAGACCAACTAGCTGGACACTAGACCAACTAGCTGGACACTAGACCAACTAGCTGGACACTAGACCAACTAGCTGGACACTAGACCAACTAGCTGGACACTAGACCAACTAGCTGGACACTAGAACAACTAGCTGGACACTAGACCAACTAGCTGGACACTAGACCAACTAGCTGGACACTAGACCAACTAGCTGGACACTAGACCACTACTGAAGACCCAGACAGAGCGAGCAGTGTAGATAATGAATAGAGAGCGAGAATCAGGAGACCCACAGTTCAGGAGATACTTATAACTTCACCTGAACTGTGGGTCTTATTGTTTTTAGGGAGATTATGTGATTAGAGACAGAAGCTGAGTCTCTAGTGTGAGGGAGGAACATGTTAATATATATTCATGAGACAGGAGACAGGAGATTATATTCATGAGACAGGAGATTGCTGAGAGAGGACTACAATAGAGAGGGCAGGAAATAGGACGCCGTGCTGATTGTTAGAGGTGTTGTTCAGGACTACCTACTTTACTACCAAGCTAAAACACGTGGTCCTCTAGTCTCTACTGGCCCCTCTGGTGGCCCCTCTACTGGCCCCTCTGGTGGCCCCTCTGTGACAATACATGATAATAGCTGCTCTGTAGGCCTACTGTTACTACTGTTACTACTGTACCTGGCCTGGATACCCTGGATACCTTTACAGTTTAGCTAGTTCCTGTTTAATCCCTGTTTGAGTATCAACTTATCAACTGGGATTCTACTGTTGAAAAGATAATACCTCTCGTTAAGTTTCTACCACCACCACCACTACCATCACCACATCCACCACCAACACCACTAGTCACTACCACCAGTCCCCCGCCCGCCTCCAGCCGTTTTAAACAGTTATAAAGTTCACTATTTTCTAGTAATTACATTACGCTGGACCTATATTGTATTTGTACCCTACAATTTAAGAATGTTGGAGTGTGGCCAACTCATTACACCTCCTAATTCTCACACATTCTTTATAAAAAATGGCGTGGTCCCTCATACTACGAACCCAACATGATATTTACCACGAAAGTTGCTGAAATCCTTGGAATATGTTGTTTTCTTAGAATAGCTTTGCCGGTATTGCTATTCTGCCACAAATACACGTGGTTTTGTAATATGGCTGATCTAGAAAATTCTTATTATCAATATTCGGACACCAGCTTGTTAATTATACATGAGACTAGGTAAAGGTAACAGTAACCCTGGTAACAGTAACCCTGGCAACAGTAACCCTGGTAACAGTAACCCTGGCAACAGTAACCCTGGCAACAGTAACCCTGGTAACAGTAACCCTGGCAACAGTAACCCTGGTAACAGTAACCCTGACAACAGTAACCCTGGTAACAGTAACCCTGGTAACAGTAACCCTGGCAACAGTAACCCTGGCAACAGTAACCCTGGCAACAGTAACCCTGGCAACAGTAACCCTGGCAACAGTAACCCTGGCAACAGTAACCCTGGCAACAGTAACCCTGGCAACAGTAACCCTGGCAACAGTAACCCTGGCAACAGTAACCCTGGCAACAGTAACCCTGGCAACAGTAACCCTGGCAACAGTAACCCTGGCAACAGTAACCCTGGCAACAGTAACCCTGGCAACAGTAACCCTGGCAACAGTAACTCTGGCAACAGTAACCCTGGCAACAGTAACCCTGGCAACAGTAACCCTGGCAACAGTAACCCTGGCAACAGTAACCCTGGCAACAGTAACCCTGGCAACAGTAACCCTGGCAACAGTAACCCTGGTAACAATAACCCTGGCAACATTCACCCTGGCAACAGTAAGCCAGGAGGGATATGATTCATCTGTGTGAGAGCTATTTTCACATTACTTTATTCATTTTGTGGTTTTGGAAATGACAAATGGGATGTGTTAATCTGGTGACACGTACCCTCAGTAATCTCATTGAGAGTATTACTACACAACCACAGTCCCTTCTTATTGAGCTGATATATACCTCATCCAACTAGGGGTACATTTTGTGAACTACATTCTGTATAACTAGTTTATTAATATACTAGAAAGCCCGTGGTCACAGGGAGGAAGCTAATAGTAATCTTTGGTAGTCAGTTTTTATCGCATCAAAAAATATCCCTCACAACCGAAGATACAGCCGATTAAAATGTAGCTCGCACTGAACACAACGTAATTACCACAAAACCGATAAAAATGTCGCTCGCAAATCTTTGCACGTGCACGTACGTGCGCTTTTGAACACCAACACCATGGTTAGTGGTTACTATGCTACTTCCTATTTCTCATCTGATTTGAACTTGGGCGGTCGTACAGACAGACAGACATACAGAAATACATACATGTTACATACATACATACATGGTAAGGTCTCCTCCTAGTCGTTGGAGTGGCCTGCATCACACACATCGCGTTGGCGGCGTAACATATGTCTCCACTGTACTCGGTTGGTAGCCAAAGCTTCTGTTGTGTTATTGTCGATGTTTTCAACACCTGTAAACTTAGCAGCATCTTCGAGTACGCAGGACTTCCAGTTCTTACGGGGTCTGCCCCTTGACCTCTTTCCATAATTTGGCTTCCAGTTCAACAGAAACCTCGGTAGTCTAGAGTCTGGCATTCTAACTACATGTCCATACCAACGTAGCCTGGCAGCACTGATGAAAGTCTCAACAGACTTGATGCCAGCCCTCCTAAGAACTTCGTCGTTGGTCACATGAAAGAACCATTTAATCCTAAGGATCCTTCTCAAGGAGGTTTGATGGAAAACCTCGAAGCGTTTCATCTGCTTTTTGGTGGTGTTCCAGACTTCAGCTCCATACAACAAGATGGTGAGGACAGCAGCCCTATAGATCCTGATCTTGGTTGGAGTCTTTATAGTTCTGCTATTCCAAATGTTCCAGAGCTGATGAAAGGCGCCATTAGCCTTCTGGATACGGACATCCAGGTCTCTGTTGATTGTCCCATCCCCACTGATAGTTGCACCCAGGTAGACATAGTTGCTAACCTGCTCGACGGAAATACAGAAATAATTCTTTCAATTATAATAATGACTAGAAAGCCCGTGGTCACAGGGAGGAAGCTAATAGTATTCTTTGGTAGTCAGTTTTTTAGCATGAATTATAGTATTGATTACATTACATAACTATTAACTAGTGTTGTAATATTTGTATTATATTACCAATAATATTACAATATGTCTCTCTAGTATTTGGTAACATGTCATATATGTTATATGTTGGGCTATAATAGAGAATGTTTTAACATTAAGCTGTGCTTTCAGGATGAGAAAGGAGACAGAGGCAGAAGTCGCACAACCTGAGCTAAGATACCAACGTCAATCCAGTGACAGTGAGTAATTAACTAATTAGTCAGTTAATTAGTTAATTAGTTAGTTAGTTAATTAGTTAGTTAGTTAGTCATTCAGTCAGTCAGTTAATTGCTAGCTATTGAAATACATTAGTAAAACAGATGTTCAGACTTAAACGATATTAGCAAATTTGGTAAATCTTACATAGTCTTACATAGTACATACGTCATACTGTATGATGGTTAATAGCCAAAATAGTTGTCATTAGTTGGTCAAGTAGCAGCAGGTAACGCACAACTAAACTTAATTAATAAACTATAGAGTAGCCTAGCAGCAGGTTACACACAACTAAACTTTATTAGTATACTAAAAAGTGATTTTATTTGTATTATGAAAGCTATAATGCGAGGATATTAAAGACAAGTATCCAATTAGATTTACAACTAATTAATTAATTAATTAAATTTACAACTAATTAATTAATTAATTAGATTTAAAACTCCTGAGGTATAAAAATCTACCCGGCTAATCTAGAATCTCCTTCAACTCGTGGTTTGAAACCAATTCGTGGTTTGACTGTTCAACGTGAATTTGTCTTAATATGGCTTACGTTGGTTGTTTCTCGGAAACTCTCCTTTGTTACGCCACATATCTTACACATCCTTTACACATTTTACTAACTTGTCACTTTTGTTTCATTGCCAGGTGTCCTTTTCTTACAATAATTGTGGTTGTTTTGTTTGTCTCCTCACTTTATTAGAGTTACTAGTGTAACCTGTGCCTGCTGTCTCCTCACTTTAGAGAGAGAGAGAGAGAGAGAGAGAGAGAGAGAGAGAGAGAGAGAGAGAGAGAGAGAGAGAGAGAGAGAGAGAGAGAGAGAGAGAGAGAGAGAGAGAGAGAGAGAGAGAGAGAGAGAGAGAGAGAGAGAGAGAGAGAGAGAGAGAGAGAGAGAGAGAGAGAGAGAGAGAGAGAGAGAGAGAGAGAGAGAGAGAGAGAGAGAGAGAGAGAGAGAGAGTGGGAGAGTACACACACACACACACACACACTCTATTATCACATTCGGGTCACAAAATGATCAATTAATTAAACCACTTACCACCGACCGATTTAAAAAACCTTTATCATTTGGCTTCGTCAGAGTTTTCTCGGCACTATACCGAACAAAAACCAGCCCCGTAACTCTTACATTTTTTTTGATTAAGGCTTAAGCTGTTCGGGAATTCCACACAGACACACACACACATCTTGAAATTATTAGTATTGATGATAGTTATCCCAGTCTCCCCCTCAATTACCAGCTTCCGGTACATTCAGTGCTAAATTAAACTCTTTGAATTAAGTTTACAACGTTACTGTGAGTGTGACCACTAAGTCATGAAACTGATCTGATTACTGATATCAGATCTAATCAGTACGTGTTATCACAGTGTTGTAACACCGTATATTGCACCGTATATTATACTTGATAGTGGGTGGGCAACAATTGACCACCCGACAATTGACCCCCCGAGTGCCGACAACTGACCTCCCGACAACTGACCCCCGACAACTGACCCCCCGACAACTGACCCCCCGAGTGCCGACAAATGACCCCCCGACAATTGACCCCCGACAATTGACCCCCGAAAATTGACCCCCTGACAATTGACTCCCCGACAATTGACCCCCCGACAATTGACCCCCCGACAATTGACCCCCCGACAACTGACCCCCCGACAATTGACCCCCCGACAATTGACCCCCCGACAACTGACCCCCCCGACAACTGACCCCCCGACAACTGACCCCCCGAGTGCCGACAACTGACCCCCCGACAATTGACCCCCCGACAATTGACCCCCGAAAATTGACCCCCTGACAATTGACTCCCCGACAATTGACCCCCCGACAATTGACCCCCCGACAATTGACCCCCCGACAACTGACCCCCCGACAATTGACCCCCCGACAATTGACCCCCCGACAACTGACCCCCCGACAACTGACCCCCGACAACTGACCCCCCGACAATTGACCTCCGACAATTGACCTCCGACAATTGACCTCCGACAATTGACCCCCGACAATTAACAATATAATTTAATACAATTAACCCTAACCCTAACCTTAACCCTAACCATAACCATAACCCTTACGCTAACCCTAGTCCCTAACCCTAGTCCCTAACCCTAACCCTAACCCTAACCCTAACCCTAACCCTAACCCTAACCCGATCAATTGACCCCAGTGTAATTACATGGGGGGTCACTGTATATTACACACGATAAACTTAATCAGAGTGTCTGTTACTTTATTAGTAGTTACATCACGTAATTAAGCCAAGCACCTTCTAAACTACTATTATAGCCAGGTATTCAATAAATTTCTAAATTTTATCACTATTAAAGTGAAATTGAATAGAATTTGGATTCAAATATTGTCAAATTGTTATTATTCTAGAGAGTAAAAAAGAAAACTTTTATTACGTAATCAACGACCAAACCCCCCCCCGTCACAAACCCAAAATTTAAACCCCCCCCCCCCCACCCTAATTGGGAAACCCCCCCCCCCCCCCCCCCCCCCCCCCGCTAAACAGAATATGTGAACGACCCCCCCCCCCCACGAAAGAACAAACCCCCCCCCCCCCCCCAAAACCCCCCCCCCCCCCCCCACAATTGTGAACACCCCCCCCCCCCCCCCCCCCCAAAAGAACCCCCCCCCCCCCCGACACGAAAGGAAACCCCCCCCCCCGACCGAAAGGAACACCCCCCCCCCCCACACAAAAAAAGACCCCCCCCCCCCCCCCCCCCATATGAACGCCCCCCCCCCCCCCCGAACACGAAAGGAACGAAACCCCCCCCCCCCCTCCCCAAAGAAAACCCCCCCCCCCCCCCCCCTTTGAACAAAAACGACCCCCCCCCCCCCCGACACCCAAAAAACCCCCCCCCCCCCCCCCCCCCCCCCCTCCAAAATTTAACACCCCCCCCCTTCCAATATGGAACGACCCCCCCCCCCCCCCCCCTTTCCCCCCCCCCCCCCCCCCCCCCCAACCAAAAAACCCCCCCCCCCCCCCCCGGCCCCCCCCCCCACCAAAAAACGACCCCCCCCCCCCCACACGAAAAACCCCCCCCCCCCCCCCTGTGACACAAAAACCCCCCCCCCCCGGGGGAAACCCAAAAGAACACCCCCCCCCCCCCCCCCCCCCCGAAAAGGAACGACCCCCCCCCCCCCTCCGACCTTTTTCCCCCCCCCCCCCCCCCCCCCCCCCCCGGCTATCAGTAATATGTGAACGACCCCCCCCCCCCCCCTCGGCGATCACGTAATATGTAACACCCCCCCCCCCCCCCCGTCCAAAAGTGAACGACCCCCCCCCCCCGGGGGATCCCAAAGTGAACACCCCCCCCCTCGTGAACGAAAGGGAAAGACCCCCCCCCCCCCCCCGGCTGATCACTAAATGTGAACGACCCCCCCCCCCTTTAGAAAAGGAAACCCCCCCCCCCCCCCGAACGAAGGGCCCCCCCCCCCCCCCCTCGGGGTGATCACTAATATTTTGGGGAAAACCCCCCCCCCCTCGGCCCGGGAAGAAAACCCCCCCCCCCTCGGGTGATCACGTAATATGGAACGACCCCCCCCCCCCCCCCCCCCCCACGAAGGAACGACCCCCCCCCCCCCAACGTAATATTGGGGAAGACCCCCCCCCCCCCCCCCCCTCCACCTAAAGGGAAAAGACCCCCCCCCCCCCCCCGACCCGAAAAACCCCCCCCCCCCACACAATTGGAAAGACCCCCCCCCCCCCCCCCGACACAAAACCCCCCCCCCCCCCGCTGATCACTAATAGTGAAAAGACCCCCCCCCCCCCCCCCCAAAAGTGAAACGACCCCCCCCCCCCCCCCCCCCGACCAAAAACCCCCCCCCCCCCCCCCCCCCGGCGAACGAAAAGGAACGACCCCCCCCCCCCGGCACCCCCAAAGGAACCCCCCCCCCCCCCCCCCCCCCCCCCCCCCACGAAAAAAGGGCCCCCCCCCTCGGCTGATCATCGTAATATGTGAACGACCCCCCCCCCCCCCCCCCCCCCTCTCGGCTGATCACGTAATATGTGAACGACCCCCCCCCCTCGGCTGATCACGTAATATGTGAACGACCCCCCCCCCCCCCGCCCTCGCTGATCACGAAATAAGTGAACGACGAGCCCCCCCCCCCCCCTCGGCTGATCACGTAATATGTGAACGAACCCCCCCCCCCGCCCGCCCCCCTCGGCTGATCACGTAATATGTGAACGACCCCCCCCCCCCCCCCTATGTAGAAATATACACTCCTTGCCCTGTTCGTGATTTTGTGTGCTTGGAGATATAAATGAAAAAAATACAAAGTAAACAAAGTAGATCACTGTATAATAAATACTAATATACGATTACACTAAAAGCCTCCCAGTATTATACGCTCAGTGTTCTCACTTCTTTATTGCTCGTTTCTTCTTGTGTTACGGTATCTTGTCTTAATATTTTGTGTTAAAATCCTACGAGAAACACATGAGAGTTCCCGTGTTTAAACGTTTACAATGTTTTCCTCTCCAAACTTTCGTTGCCAGTAGGCCATAGATGTCCCATTGTTCAGTGTGGGAACACGGGCCCAGTAACCGAGCGTGCTAAATCACTGACACTCTACACTCGCTCTTCGAGATTTTTTCCATCCACTATTTTGTAAAAATATAAAGTGGAAGGTTACGAATGGAGGTTTTTGCAGAAAAACGTGGATTTTGGAGATTGCAGTAGGTGGGTCAAATGTATGTCGTGTTCCTTGCTTACTTCCGTTCGTTACTATGCAACGAAAAAGCCGCGCGCGCGCAGAATTTAACCACAGATGCATTGTGCTTCCTACAGACGATGGGTCTACTTGAACTCGCGTGACGTCACGTTACTAGACTGTTGATAAATGATCGCGCGACGAAATTAAGTCTTTCCGTAAATTACACGCCACGTTACGTATCCATTCTGTTCAATTTAACTTAACAAACCTTTCATCTTTATTTAATGAAGTACAAGCTGTTAATCATTTTGTTTTTGATGGGATGTTCCACCGACTTGGCACCGGATAATTTGATTAAATATGACATTTGTTTTGACGAGGTAAAAGTTGCTGTGACAGGGTTTTTGTTTGACTGTTTTGATATGTTTAGTATGGTATTATGTTACTTTGGAAACCAAGTATTATTGCCTACAATAAATTTGACCTCGAGGAGTTTGGTTAATGTGCAATATTACTTTTGTCATAATGTACATATCTGGTTATTATTCAATCGACTGACGTTTGTTTACAAGCACTCTGATTACGGTGTCAGCTCATTCTACACCTTCACGAGAACATTCTTCGTGCGGGGAGCTTTAGCGGCTAGTTCTGTCCTGGTTGTGCTGATGTTTGCGTCGTCGATGAACACTGGAGTTCTCGTTGGTTATGGTGAGTTCGTTTACGGTTGAAATTGCACATCTGCTACGTTTCGTTTCCTTAAGCTTTTCTGTGCTCTATTAGATTGGTTGTTGAAGATATCATTGTATAATAAATAGCAATCCTATTTATAGGTCGTCTGCTCTCTACACCCAGTCTATGGACGGTTCTAATGAACCCTCAACAGCTTTTCGTGGTCGCCCTTCAACCACAGAACACCTTGGTTTTGGCTTCAGGAGCTGTGTTGAGTGTTGAATTTTATTTGGAGTTTATTTTTCAAAGTTGTTGCAACCTTAACATCATGTCAACATTAAATTTGATTTATAATCTGGTTTTGGCTCAATTAATTTACTTGACATCAACAGTTGAAGCTGCTAGTGCTCAGTTGCAGTACCTCGAGGTTGCTGGCCTAATGCCATCTAGTCCTGCCATCCTGGTTCTTCAACTGGTCGTAAACGCTATAGCTGGTGATTCGTCTCCTTCTGCTGTTTGGTCCAGGATGTGCCTAATACTATCAGGCGATGTGGAAACTAACCCGGGGCCCGCACAGTTTAAGTGCAACACCGCCAGTTTCTCTCCTGAGGAGTTCGTCTATACGGATAAGAACGTGAGTATTTAAATGTTATGATTTTACTATAATATGTACATGTCTAGCCACATTTTCTAAATTTTTTTACAGTAAACCCCAACAGATGTAGAAGTATTAGTTATTACAACTTACACTCTTACTTCTATTTATGTTTTTACATTACACGATTATTGACAAATCAATTTTGTTCAGGTTGTGGTTATAGGAGATTCAATGGTTAAATACATTGATTCCGAACGTCCCGAAGAACCTACACGTTTATATCCGCAATCATACCGTGGACTACATGTTTTCTCTCACCGTGGTATGGACACTGAGCACGTGGCAGACGAGGTTACCAACATCAATCCTCGGAAACTGCCGCAGATAGATGCTGTCTACGTCATGGTGGGAACTAACAATATAAAAGGTAGGTGTTCGTGTGATAGTGTTACGTTTGCAGAAATGTTTACTGACCTCATGAATTGTGTGCATCTTAAGTTTCCTAAGGCTATTGTTTTTGTGAATATTGTTTTGCCTCGTTTTGATTATCCTAAGTGTGAAAGATCACATTTTCTTTCTAAAATTAATGCTTTTAACGCTGAATTGGTTTCTTTACGTAATAAATTTAATTTTGTATTAGTTTCTAACCCTTTTCACATTACTCCTAATGATGCTTTCAATTACATCCAGCGTACGGATAATTTACATTTCAGCTACACAGGTAACATTTTGTTTAAAAAGATTGTTAAGGCTAACATTCACTGCTATTTTTTTGGTTTTGCTAGTATCCCCACTCATCTCCGTTATCTAGTAGACAGTTCACTGATCCCTGCATCCCCTTTACCCTCACAATTTCCTGATCGGTCTGATAGCTTGTGGGACTTAACTCCGGGTGATTTTCCATCTACTACTTCTCCTGCACCTGTTCTATCTGCTGCACCTACTCTTCCTGCACCTGTTCCATCTGCTGCACCTCCACCATCTGCTGCACCTGTTCCATCTGCTGCATCTGCTCTTCCTGCACATGTTCCATCTGCTGCACCTCCACCATCTCCTGCACCTGTTCCATCTGCTGCTCCTCCTGCACCTGTTCCATCTGCTTCTACTCCTCCTGCACCTGTTCCATCTGCTGCTCCTCCTGCACCTGTTCCATCTGCTTCTGCTCCTTCTGCTACTGCTCCTTCTGCACCTCCACCATCTCCTGCACCTGTTCCATCGGCTGCTCCTCCTGCACCTGTTCCATCTGCTGCTCCTCCTGCACCTGTTCCATCTGCTTCTGCTCCTTCTGCTACTGCTCCTTCTGCACCTCCACCATCTCCTGCACCTGTTCCATCTGCTGCTCCTCCTGCAACAAAACCAGATCATGCTGCACCCGCACCTGCACCTGATACGCCTGCATCTACTCCTGCTTCACCCACACCAGTTCATGTTCCAGCTGCACCTGCTCCTGCTGCACCAACACCTGCACCTGCCTCATATATTTCGTCGAAGTGTCCGGAATGGCTTTATACAAGGCTGGCTTATTACAAAGATCTACTCCCTGTGCATATCGCAAAACATGTTGAGGAACTTTTACTGTCTAAAGTGAAACAAGGTCTTTTTATTAGACAGGGTATGAACTCATCGCAGGTTCTTCTTTTTGGCAAAGATAGATATGTTTACAACAGGGCTACTAAACATCTAAATCCTATCCCCATTCACTCAGAGCCTATACTACAAAATATTTTGTCCATTGTTAATGTTACATTGTCAGCTAACTTTAACAGCATATTGGTCAACTTTTATAAAGACTCCTCTACCATCTTACCATATCATAAGGACGATGAACGGCACTTGGACAAATCTGCCAAAATAGCGACTCTATCAATTGGTGCTACACGGTACATGGACTTTGCCACGTGTAAAAGGAACCGCCCTTCCTTCAGTCAGCAGCTTCTGTCTAATTCTTTGTTTGTTATGGATCCTGAGTCACAGTTAGCGTACTTCCATCGTATAGCTAACGGAAGTACCTCTGGTGTATGCAAAGGCTACCGTTTCAGTCTTACTTTCAGAACGCTTAAGCCGAGATCTATTGAAGGGATGTCGTCATCCGACCCTGTTTCATTAAAGCCCAAAACCCTCCATCAGACTGAAGGGGTGTCGTCATCCGGCCCTGTTTCATTAAAGCCCAAAACCCTCCATCAGACTGAAGGGGTGTCCTCATCCGGCTCTGTTTCTTTAATGCCCACCACCCTCGATAAGACTGAAGGGGTGTCGTCATCCGACCCTGTTTCATTAAAGCCCAAAACCCTCGATCAGACTGAAGGGGTGTCCTCATCCGGCTCTGTTTCTTTAATGCCCACCACCCTCGATAAGACTGAAGGGGTGTCGTCATCCGGCCCTGTTTCATCGAAGCCAACCACCCTCGATAAGACTGAAGGGGTGTCCTCATCCGGCTCTGTTTCTTTAATGCCCACCACCCTCCATAAGACTGACGGGGTGTCCTCATCTGATCATAATAACCGGATACATTTGTCATCATCATCCACCATTCTTCAAACACCTATTGTCCCTAGTGTGAGCCACAACTCTATTTCTACTGAGCTTTGTCATCTGCCATTTTTTCTTCGGATCCCTGCACCTTTTATAAGACTTACCGGCTGTCACCGTCTGCCACTGCTTCCCTGCACCCCTGATATGACTGAAGGGGCCGGGGTGTCATCATCTCTTCCTCATCCTGTGGAACCCTGCACCCCTGATATGACTGAAGGGGCCGGGGTGTCATCATCTCTTCCTCATCCTGTGGAACCCTGCACCCCTGATATGACTGAAGGGGCCGGGGTGTCATCATCTCTTCCTCATCCTGTGGAACCCTGCACCCCTGATATGAATGAAGGGGCCGGGGTGTCATCATCTCTTCCTCATCCTTCGGAACCCTGCACCCCTGATATGACTGATGGGGCCGGGGTGTCCTCATCTCTTCCTCATCCTGTGGAACCCTGCACCCCTGATATGACTGAAGGGGCCGGGGTGTCCTCATCATCTTCTGTATATGCACCATCTATTTCCTACAACGTTAGTAACACCACTATACAATCTCGGTCGCTAATGTATGGTGGAGGTCGAAATAACAATCCTTTCATCGACAATGAAGCTCAAGATGAAGAAGGTCATGTATCCCAAGAGTCTGACAACTCCCATAATTGTACAGCTTCGCCACATGATATGGACAATTTCATTGATGACACTGAATTGCACGAATCACAGGAGTATAGACCATATTATGACTGTCACAATGGTAACTATGTAGAAAGTTCCACGCTTTTGACCCCATCTACCGAAAATGACTCTTATGCTTCAACTGTTAACAAGAAAAAGGAAACGGATTCCTCTAAGAAATATGACACTCTTTCTAATATGGCTGATAAAGAGCTTCAAAAAGAGAAAGATCGATATTCTGCTCGTAATCGAATGCGGCAGCATCGTGCTTTTATGACAAGCCCACAGCGTTCACAACATCTTCAGTATGATTGTCATCGAAAGTCTCAAAAGCGAGCAACTATGACCACCACTGAGCTCACAAAACTCCAACAAAATGAACGATCTCGAATGTCTCAAAAGCGAGCAACTATGCCCACCACAGAGCTCACACAACTTCAACAAAAACAACGATCCCAAATGTCTCAAGCTCGGGCAACTATGCCCACCACTGAGCTCACAATACTCCAACAAACTGAAAGATCTCGAAAGTCGTCAACTATGGCATCTATGACAACCCCTGAACGCAATGCAAAAAAAGAGCAAAAACGTTTAAAGGAAAAGACCAGGCGCGCAGCAATGACAGATGAACAAAAGAAAATTGCGAAAGAAAAGCGACGCACTCGTATTTCTCTCAATAAAGCTAGAAATAGTACATCTCAGAAAATGTGCTCTCCTGTTCTCCTTCGTCAACATAGCCTAACCAATATGAGCGGTTACAAAACTCCACCAACCTACTCTGCACTTTTTAATCACAATCATTCACGGTCTCCAGCTTCATCGATTAAAACTGCTTACTCACCCCACGACATTTCATTTCATACAGTTACTGTTAATAGAAATAATAAAGTTACATCTCCTTTAAATGGATACGGAACTTCTTCTCAATCTCTACCAAAACTACACTCTACTCCACCGCATCACTCACCGTCATCTTATCGGGCACAGGTACCTACTGAGACTAATATTGATATAAAGTTTGCTGCTAAATCCTGTTTAGGTTCACCTTCATCTTCTAATACCTTTTCATGCCAAACACCTCCAAAATACACAGCTCAGAAATCAGAAACTGATTCGCATAAATCTCCAGTATCAACGAGGCTTATTTCTACTTTGGATTGGGACTTTGTTCGTTTTCCTCATGGCTCCAAATTATTAGCTGCAATTGAACTTAACTGCGCTAATAAATGCACCTTCTGCCCAGGTTTTATGGACAACTGCCCCTTTTCTCATCTCCAAAGTGTCTCCCTAAATCAACATTTTACTACTTCATCGGAACGATCAGCCTGCCAATCACCCCCCATGGAATATTCTAGCCTGCATAACTTTTTTGTGGAGGATCAACCCGAGGTACCACAGAGGCCTATTTCAACTTTGGATTGGGACTTTGTTCGTTTTCCTCATGGCTCCAAATTATTAGCTGCAATTGAACTTAACTGCGCTAATAAATGCACCTTCTGCCCAGGTTTTATGGACAACTGCCCCTTTTCTCATCTCCAAAGCGTCTCACCAAATCAACATTTTACTGCTTCATCTGAACCATCTGCCTGCCAGTCACCCGACATAGAATCGTCAAGCCTGCATAACTTTTCTGTTGAGGACCACCTCGAGGTGCCACCCAATGCTTCAAAGGCTTCTCCAGTGCCCCTTGAGCATCACTCTAAATCACCTCCAAAACTCTCATTTGATCCAAAGACTGACAACATTGTGAAGACTTTCCGTGCTAAAATGCGAGAGTACCCAGAATATGCGTGCATTAAATGTCACAAGCTTTTCTTCCGTGAAGGTGTTGTTAAGGCAAAGGATACTCTTAAGTTTAAGCTTAATATTCCTTCGGTTACTAAAGCAGATAATAAATGGATTTGTAAACGTTGCAATAGTTATTTAAAGCGTGGCAAGTTCTCCCCTATAGATGTAAACGAAATGTTCCTGGCATCAGGCGATCTCCCATCCTCCCTTCAGCCAAACCCCACCGAATGCCGCTTAGTATCCCAAATCATTCCATTTATGAAAATTTTATCCCTTCCTGCTGGTGGTCAAAGTTGTATTAAAGGCCCTGTTGTTAATGTCCCCATCCAACCTGACAGAAATTGCATGCAGCTCCCTCGTAAACTTTCTGAGTCTGGTATTTTAGCTGTCCGTATAAAACGTAAGGTTGAGTACAAGTCTGTTGTAATGTCTGATGTTGTTAATCCTGATAAATGTATAACATTATTAGTATGGCTTAAGAAAAACAATCCTTTTTATAAGAATGTTGTACTTTCCCATGATTTCATTAAACAAAATTACGATGGTGATAAGCAGTTCTTTGACTCGTACATGAATGATGACCCTGTTGTTGTTTCTATGTCAATATTAGATCTTATTTTATCAAATGTCACTAACGAGGGTACGTACTGTGATATGCCTTTTGAGTCTTGCATCCAAAAATCTGATCCAGCTGAGAACATTGATGACGGTAAAATACCTTTCATGGACTTTGCACCTGGCCAGGGTAGTAAACCTGTTCCTTTCCTTGGTAATGCCGACTACGAAGCCTTGTCATTTCCTGATCTATTTCCTCTCGGTAAGGGTCACTTCAACTGCAGCAAAAGAAATGATCTCATTAAGAAAAAACTTCTCCCTAAACTCTCCTTAAAAGATTACGCTGAAAGCAAATTATACTCTAAGCATAGAAAGTACGCTCAAAACCCCGAGTATATATTTTACATGCAGAACTGGATTGAACGTGATCAGCTACTTAGTTGCATTGCTACTCACATGCGCAAAGGTTCTAGAACTATGGACGGTCAAATCATTACCGCAGGGCTCCTCAGATCTTACCAGTGCAACATGGATCAGCTTCAAAGTAACATTGATGCTTATAAATTTATGAAAAATATGAAGGGTACTCCAGCTTACTTACAGAAGATCAAGAACGATGGTATAGCTATGGTGAATCAGCTAGGTAATTTTACTTGGTTCTTAACATTCTCCTTTAACGACTTGGTCTACTCAGTTCCGGCTATTCTGAAATTAATGGGTCAGGAACCTACGGATGAATTATTAAGTGACATAAGCTGGTTTAGGAAGCACGAGCTAATTAAAATGGACCCTGTCATTGCTGTGCGCATGTTCGACCGCTACGTCCGCAAAATTCTATCTTATCTGATTGAGGATCAGGGTGTCATGGGGGAGGCTTTGGCTCATTTTGGTAGAAATGAGTTTGGGGGCCGTGGATCCCCTCACCTTCACATGCTTCTCAAAGTAGTAGGTGCCCCTATACCAGGTGAGAGTCCCATCGAGGAAGTAATAGAATTTATTGATAAGTATGTTACAACTCATTATCCAACCCTTGAAGAAGATCCCGAGGTTCACAAACTTATCAAGCTTCAGCTGCACTCCCATACAAAAACATGTCAGAAAGGTGGTAAAGACATATGCCGTTTCGGATTTCCCAAAACACTTTCTGAGGTTACAAAAATTGTCTTTAAGGAAATCAAGAAAATGATGACAAAAAAGTCAAAAAACAACCAAAAGTCTGCTGACAGTGAACCCAAAGTTGAGGCTCCTAAACTGCGATCTAGAGATGTCATCTACAAACGTAAACCTGGCAGCGAAAATGTAAATACATACAATCGTCTTCTACTCCTTGCTATACAAGGGAACATGGATGTTCAAATTTGTATGAGTCCGTGGGATGTTGTTAATTACGTTATTTCGTATGCCACCAAAAATGAAAAAGAGGTTTGTGACGCCTTGAAAGATGTTATTAAAAATATTGATCAGCCGAGCAATAAGAACTCTAAAGAAGCCCTTAGACAGCTTGGTAATACTTTTTTAAATTCTAGGTCCGTCTCCGTCCAAGAAGCTATTTTTCGATGTCTGCCCCAGTTGAGTCTCTCCCATTTCAAACCTTCGGTTCTTTTCATTCCTTCTGACATGCCAGGGGATAGACATGGCATTGTCAAACCTCGTTCTACCCTACAACAGCTGCCAGATGATTCAGAAGATGTGTTCCATAACTCGCTTCTTGACAAATATCTCAATCGTCCTGATGATTTAGAGTCGATCTGCTGGGCTGAATTTGCTTCCTTATACGTTCGGTTAGACAGAAACGTAACTTCTAAAAACAGACACAAAGTAATTACTCTTAAATCTAATCTTGGCCAGATGATAAGGCGAGACTCGCCTCAAGTTATCAGAAGTAACAAAAAGTCTCGCACAAAGGAGCCTGAAAAGTATTACTATTCGAAACTGTGTTTGTACTTTCCGTGGAGAAAGGAAGCTGATCTTATTGGCTCCTTTGCCACTTATCAAGAGTCATTTGCTGAGAATGTTGATGCCATGAAACCCAACATCAAAAAGTTTGAACAATTTGACGACGACACTCTGCAAAAAATGGAAGCTGAAATAAGACAAGAGATCAAAGATTCACTTCTTGATGAAAATAAAAGGGAAGTTCTTGATGGTAGGCATCTTTTCAATCATCCCTTTGAAGGTATTGATATATCGAAGGAGGAAGAGAAGTCTGTGTTCAACGTCACTTATAAGGAGCCCATTGTCTCTGACGAACAGTACCAGCAAATGGTCACCAGCCTCAATGATAAACAGCGCGAACTCTTCAACATTGTAGATCATCACTCTTCCCGTGTTGCACAGGGTCACAAGGTCAATCAGCTTCTTCATTTTGTTAGTGGTGCTGGCGGAGTAGGTAAAAGTTTTCTCATAAAATGTATGCGCTCCTGTATCTCACGCAAGTTCCCAGACAGTATCATTAAACCTAGGGTTGCTGTTGCAGCTAGCACTGGTGTTGCTGCAGCTCTCATTGACGGTCAAACTGTTCACCAACTCCTTCAGTTAGATTGTCAAGAGGGCGGAAGAATCCAACCTAAACCACTTAATCCAAAAAAGAAGATGCAAATGAGGAGATTCTTTCAGCATGTAAGGTATATCATTATAGATGAAGTGTCCATGGTGGGTAACACAAACCTCAACCAGATCAATTCACGGTTGAATGAAATATTTGGGGTTCCTCCTGAAACCACAATCTTTGGGGGAATCAACGTTATCTTCAGTGGTGACCTTCATCAGATTCCTGCGGTTCAACAAACTATGGTGTTTGAGACTAAAGGTATCGCTGCTCTTGGGCCTAACATTTGGAAGGATTCAATTACATTTTCTGAGCTAACGGACATAGTTAGAGCAAAGGGTGACAGTCAGTTCACGGAACTCTGTCACAGGCTTAGGGTAGGAGAGCACACCCCAGAGGATATTGAGTTACTGAGTTCAAGGGTTGTGGAAAAGCAGCCTAAACCTGCTGAAATCATGGACTCAATGGTCATTTATCCAACCAATAGGCAGTGCAACAGTCACAATCAGGAGTGCATTCAAGAATTGAGCAAAACCTCTTCAATAGTTAACGTTGTTGCTCAAGACAGATTCTCTAATGAAGTTTTCAACAAATCTTCTAATTTTGGCGACAAAGTTTACGACAAAATGAACAAGAAACCCCAAGATTACACGACTGATGATGTGAACAAAACTGCTGGGTTACCAACTTCATTAAATATTGGTCCAGGAGCTAGGGTCATGGTGCGTGTTAATATCGACACCCCTGACAAAGTTGTAAACGGTGTGACTGGGACTGTCCACAGTTTCCAACTCCAAAACGGCAAATCTGTCAAGGACGGTTCATGCAGTGCTAGAGACATTCGGCACGTTAATGTTATGTTCGATGATGTTAACGTCGGCAGAACCATAAAACATCATTGTGACAATTTCTGCGCTAACAATTGCACTAAGGCAGGCACTGTTCCAATAAAGCCCGTGGAAAAGGAATTTATCTCCAAAAAGAATAGTAAAACATGGCTTAAACGCTATCAAATTCCATTGGTTCTCTCTTGGGCCTGCACTGTTCACAAAGTTCAGGGTTTGACTTTGAACAAAGCATATGTATTCCTCGCTGGAGCATCAAAAGGTCACTCATGGCAGTCAGGCATGGCATACACTGCTATCTCTAGGTTGACATCTCTCCTTGGTCTGCACTTCATATCTTTTGACCCCAGGCAAATTCGCACATCTAAGAAAGTTGTAGATGAGTATGCTCGACTACGTGATGTTCCTAAATTTTGTGTTGTCCTCCAAGGTAATAATGTTCCTGCAGCTACTTGTGAAGAATTTTTAATAATGAGTCCCATACCATCTGATCCCATCACTCTTCCCTGCAGTAAACCATGTAATGTTTCATCTTCTCCGCACAAGACCATCATCACCTCGCCTGCTGTATTAAAACGCCACATTCCTTTTTCTCCATTAGCGGATCTTACGAAGAAACATTTCAAGGCTACCTCATTATATTCTCCGCTCTCTATGATGTCTCCACAGTCTACTACTGGTCTCAAACGTCCTTTACCAAACTCTCCTCAAGTTCCAGCAAGTCCACTTCTAAGTAAACATCTCAAAACAACAAAGTCTCCTTCTCCTTCATGCAGTGCAGATGTGGTCAACAATCCGGTTATCCAAATTCCTATCAGTTATCCACAAGTTATCTCTGAAACTGTTGGCAGGGCACATGTCATTGATTTTTTGGGTCATCCTCAATCGGCAGAAACTGCAACTTTATTACAATCTTTGGGATTCTCAGTCAATGCCTCCTTTGCTAATATCCAGGTTAATTCCAGTTGTGGTTACATCGCCTCTAGAGTCATTTCTAAACTGAAGTCCTTCCTTTCGACAGGCCAGTCATGGTTTAACGCATCACTGTTCGACTGTAACTATTGGGGAGCCTCGGATTTTGAGACAGACATATGTGCACTAGGTAATCATGCTCTTAACATTTCCGGCACAAGTCCCGTATTCCTATCAGAAACTAATTGCCTTGATCTTATTCCTATTTACTCGCTCCATTTTCATAATTTATTATTTATACATAGAAATGATTATCTTTCCAATGTAGAACCTCCCCATAGTAAGTCTACGTTCAAAGCCCGCATCATACACCTTTGGGATAAGTTTAAGTCTAACGCACAGGTCCTTCCCCCAACCTTATTTATAGTTAATACTGACGATGGTCATGGCGTTCATTGGTATACTGTGATTTTAGAAATTGGCTCTGCGCACTCCCCATCTCATGAATTGTAATTTCACCCTCGGCATTGTGAATGTTAGCCCTTGCACTTATGAGTAATCTTACACTCTAGCTCTCATTTACTATCACCAATAATTTCTAACAATCACGAACACCACTCACCCCATACCTATCCTAGAACTTTCACAACACCATACCAGTGCTGTTGTATCGTGACTTCTTGCGGTGTGAACAGTGTAGTCAGCCTTACATTCTTACACTCGAGGTTCTGATTACACAGGTAATATTGCCGCTATTTTAAAGCCCTCGCCTTTTTTGTCGCTTACAATAATGCTTCACATTCATAATACTAATCAGTTTCAATTACTTATTCACCGTTACGGTTCAAATTGCCAAAAAAATTAGTACACAGTAATATTGCATTGCACCATAGTTTCTCCTAACATTATTCGTTTTTCAGGAAGTTAGACGTGCAACAGGACACTGAAGTTTAAGACACAGGCTACAACAATTATAACATTACATTTACTATTATTCTACAATTTACTCAACATTATCTTATATCTACTTTAATTTACATTTAATTTATCACAATTATACTTTCAATATTAATTACTAATAGCATTAAATCCTTAAATGTCACGCACATACTCCTTTTTCATTTCACTTGTACTCCAACTTTATAGTAGTTCTTCAATCGAAATATTGTTCAATCGAAATTGTTACCTTAAAGTTATACTTTTCAAAATGTCACATACATATGTCACGTTATTATCTCATAATATATCTTTAAACCCCTGTAAAACCTCAGTTATCAGATAAGATTGGATGCATTATCATATGTTAGCAAAGAGGTTCGTCCGAGCAATTTACCCGTGGGATTGTCACGTGCTAACGGAAACTGAGAAGAGTGGTTAACTTCGTGTGGTTATTGTACCTCATCATCAACTGTTCTCAGGCTAATTACCTCGCCTCATTCTCCACATCTACATAAAAGGGAAGGTGTTTTTATACTTTTTCATATAATAATACAATTATTATGTGCATTATGCTAAGTTTTCTCCAGTTTTCATTCCGGATTGCTTCAACACTTCTGATTTAATGTATCTGTAATATTACGCACGGCACAATCACAACTTATTTCCTTTTCAGATCAGTTACTTGCTCTTTTCCAGTTTTCACATTCACAACTGTCGACAGTTCCTTGCATGCCAAAGGCTCACTTATAGAAACAAATGCCGTCCTCGAATCAGCCCTCCTTGACAGTTAACTTTATCACATCACAATTCATGAAATGGTTCGTAAATTCAACATTACTCGACAAGACTGTCACCCTATGATTCCGAAGTAATATAATATACCTTTTTGAACCTACATTAGTGACATAATCTGTCGATCACATGACCAACTAATTGAATAATCAACTGATTTCAGAGCAGCTGTGAACACAATTTTGTCAGCACCAATTGGAGACATAACGCACACCATCGGCTGCTGATTGAGTGATATTACTTCCTTCTTCACAGATCTACAAAATTTGTAGATCTTTAATCTTCTACTTTACACTAACCTAGCAAGACAATGTTATTAACACTTCATCATAATTCATACTGAACTAATTAACATACTGAACAGTGAGATTTGAATTCCAATAATTGGTATCATTGAAGTATGACTATAAAACATTATTCAACCTTGTATAACCACTAATTTGAAAGTGGAAGAGAGGGACCAGTTCTAAGCACAACATGATAATAATATGTTCTCTACCTTATTTATCCATTTCTATTTCACCGCAACCTAGATTATATCGTGTATTAATTTTCTCTGGCACAGAGTTGCGCGTTGTTATGGCAACTTTGATCTTAACGTTTGCGGAGGGACAACATTCAAATCTACACGCGATATTTCAGAATACAGCCGCGCGGCTTATCCGTAAAATTAATTAAATTACCTCCACGCGCGCTGTGACTGGACAACATTCACTTTATTTATTCATATTTTCTTCGATGCACAGATATTTTGATCCCCTAACATCGACAGACATCAGTAAACTAGCGGCAACTCCTAACTTGAGCTAATTAACAATTATATCAAGCTGGTCCGGTCAACTCTACTTCATACATCATACTTTCATTGTGATTGTCTTTTATTTGGGTTTCTGTAACCATACAGTTAGTCAATTAACTTTAGCCAATTCACGTGACACCAGAAACAAAACAATTAATTGAAGGCCGAGGTATGATAAAATTTTGACATTTGGTACAAGTGGATGGAAATCTAGCGTCCGCCAACAGTCGAACAAACGGGCGCAATTCTTGTTATAAAAGTGCCCCCCGACAGTTGAAACCCACATGAATCGATGTATTTTCGAACGCTGATTCCGAATCACCCCACATGACATAGGGTTAAAATGCTCCCCTGGCAAGATATCGGCGAAAAACTGTCTCGATCGCGTGATATCAGATATGGCCGTATAAGGAAGCTGGTATAAGTTCTCATTGAGGTTAGGGTTTCAGCATATCATTTAGTTAGGGATTGGGTTAGGGTTGGGATCAGATTAGAGGGCACTGGCACTGACACGGGCCCACTAACTGCAGCTGTGACACGGGCCCAGTAAATTTGAGAGTAAATATTCGGGTTTTGGTTTGCACTGTAATAATGAAATATGATATGGATGAGGTTTCTGTTTCACATTTTGTTATAAGCCTGACAATTTGATAAGAACCAGAATATAAATACACTGTAGAGATACAGAGTACCTGATTATCGGTCACCGTTCTTATCAATGCTAGAATATTACATAGCACTTAGCTGAATATTACATAATATTTACTACTAGCCCACGGAATCACTTTTCACATCATGAGTTTCTGGTTAATCATGACAATGATCTTTATTTTCTTGGAAATGGTTAAAATCTCAGTTATCCTGTCCCGCTGCATGTAGTATCGTACATGTGCTTTATCGAAACTTCAAAGAATTCTATAACGCATTCTTAGCTTAAGTAACGTCTTTACGTTATTAACTTGTAATGTAGTAATGTTAAATATCATTCTTTTGAAACAGTAACTGATAGAATATACAGATTAGTTAGTAACTAACTAGAAGTAACGTAAAAGGAAAATGTATGGCATCACATTATCACACTATTTTTACATTTTTATTTTTATATCGTGATGATCGTTATATTTCTTTTTATTTTCCTTCATTTCCAAGAATAACTTCAGACTTCTGATAATTCTCAGAAATAATTATCGATACTTGATACTTAACGAATTAAAAATACACCTCTTCTTAAACTCTTCCAGCCGGAAGTTGCCATCTTTTTGACTAATCGTCATTTTCACTCCCAAGATTGTGTATTTATAAATAAATAATAATGAATTTGTCACAATAATTATTATGATGCACCTAGCACCATTACTAATCTAAATGATTCTTCCTACCTCAGTTATCAGTATACACTATACACCTATTAATACCAGTGCGGTTTTATATATCTTCTTATTCTGTACGTTTTTAACGGCGAGGTGTTATATAAAGTGTTGTCGACTCTAATATAGACTTATACCAGATCATACCTGCGTTCGTGACATGTCGTCAAAGACGCAAAGATACTACAGTGCTTTACGGAAGGCGCTTCTATACAATTGTGAAAATGACTGCGCGGCGCGCACTCTCGCAATTATATAATATGTGATTTATCAATTAGTTATTCTGACTGACATTCTGTACTGAAATTATGCAATCCAATTTCCAAACACTCCAATATTACAGTTTAAAAAGTCGTATCAGTTGTGTGGTAGACCTCTAGAATCAACATTCAAGTTAAAAGGTGTAAAACTGAAACTACCGCGGTGGTAACTTTGTGAAGTTGTGACGGGTCGTGAGTCGTGTCACGTGTTTGAAATCAAGATATTATGATAATTTCTAGGACAAAATAGGCTTTTGTTTAATAGTAATGGCCAAAAGGCAAAATTAAAAATGTACATCTACTATTTTTTGTGAAGCATAAAAAGTAAAAGGATGTTTATGAATGATAGGTAAAGTGAAAGGATGGTTATGATGGGCAGTAAAGGGCGTAGTAGGATTTGTATAAGATTATGCACACACAATTCGCAAGTCAAGTCCCCCCCCCCCCCCCCCCCCCCCCCCCAACGGCTGGGAAATGCAGATATTTACGAAATCTATCATGGGGCCACTAGGGAAGGGTCGGCACCCTATTAGGGGTTGTGGCATGTGGCTGAGGTGGCCAGTGGCTGAGGCGGCGTATCTTAATGTCCTACACTATTCTGTGCAGTAAATGTCAGCCGCTTTGAGTTATATGAACGATTAACTCACTTGAATGTAGCCATTAGAAAAGATAAGTATTTTTGGTGTATGTTCATTATTTATGTTATTATTGACATTTTCTTTATTTTTAGGGAAAAGAAGTGTGGGAGGAATGGCTAAAGATTGTAAAACCTCAGATAACGGTTTTTATGGTACCGGGGCCAGAACCGACAACTTGAGCGACGAAATGAAACTATCAATTAGAGGTTTATTAGCAACTATCAATTAGAGTTTTATTAGCAACTGTCAATTAGAGATTTATTAGCAACTATCAATTAGAGATTTATTAGCAACGCTATCAGAAAGTTTTGAATTTTCGTCGTCAGCTGAATAACAATTTGTAAATTGCCAGCACAATTATCTTTGTGTTATATCCGGATAATTATCTTTGTATTGAGTACATCGTATTTGTAAGGATACATTGAACTGTAATATATAATTAATATTTTAAATAATTACATTGTTTTTTTCAGAAGCAGTGCAGACCTCTATGAATAACATGATGCCTCAAATAGAGGCTATGGTCAGGAACACGATTCGCTCAGAAATGGCTACTTTACTTCTGGGTCAGGTGAGGCGTTGCCAGGTCTACTGGTGGTCCATCAGTTTAAATATCAAACAACAGAAAATAATAGATTATTAAATTGCATTAAACCTACCACCTGGTAGTGGTACTTGGGGGGGGGGTACTTATTTAAATTAATGGAACTTTAATATTTAGATTAAAATCGAAGATTTTATCAAGACGATACAAGGCTAATATAGTTATAGTTGCTCGATAATTCGTGACAATAAATATTATCAATAAGATAAAAGTTTTACCATCCTGATCACTCCCAGGGTCCTGAGAAGATGTTGCAGAGCCCCAAACCATTCCTCACCTCTCCACTACATTATCCCACCACCTCTACCCAGTATCCTTCTGCTCCAAACCAGGGCCCTCAACAATACCCTCCAACTCCCAGTCAGAGTACCCAACAATACCCCACTACACCCAACCAAAGTACTCAGTACGGGCCAACTACTCCCAACCAAAGTACTCAGTACGGGCCCACTACTCCAAACCAAAGTACTCAGTACGGGCCCACTACTCCTAACCAAAGTACTCAGTACGGGCCCACTACTCCCAACCAAATAACTCAGTACGGGCCAACTACTCCCACCCAAAGTACTCAGTACGGGCCCACTACTCCCACTACTCAGTACCCCTCTCCATCTCCTCAGCCTGCTGAATACCCGCCCTCTCAGAACCAACAGTTCTCCGATCCTAGTCAGGGACCTAGTTTCGAACAGAAGGTTCTGGTAACCAGTCCAATGCCACCGAAGTCAGTGACTCCCACTCTGCCCCAGCAACCCTACCCACCCACACCCTCCCAACAAGAACTGACCATGACTCCTCCCTCCCAACAAGCTCTCACGATGACACCTCCTTCACAGCAAGTCATGCTGTCTTCTCCTTCCTCTCAACATCAGGTGAGTTCATTATGCTATGACGTCATGACACGTGGTGTGACGTCATTTACTGAGATTATTCAATTTTTGATTGACATTTGCATTTTGTCCATTTGTATTGACTGATGAAGCTTGATAATAATAATGATATTAGAAAGAAATAATTAAGACTATATTCAGGTGGCCTCTCCTCTCTTCACAGCAACTCCCCAGAGCATGGCCCCTCCCTCCAGCATGATAACAGCTAGCCAGCACTCACCCGGAGGTCAGAACTTGCACAACATGGCCCCGGCAACCCAACACGGCACTTCCCCGGCACCTTCTCCTGCACGCTCCTCGGACCAGCTCTACTCTCAGGCTTCAACTGCTAGCCCTCTAGACACGCATCATACCATGACGTCACGTGATGATATCACCTCCCGCCAGTCACTCACTTCCCAACTCATGGCTCCTTCACCTCAACAACAGTTTACTGATCAATCGGGTGACCAGTTTATGCAAAGCGAACTACATAGTTACTTTTAGTTACTATAGTTACTATATAGATACTTATAGTTACTATATAGTTACTTCTAGTTACTATAGGTATAATACGGTTACTGTTGCTATAGTAATTTAACGGCTAGGGCTAAAGTATTCGTGATGTTTTTCATGAATCTTTATTTTAAAGAAGTATCTCCTGCTATATTTTCCGGAGACAATGGGGAACTACCGCGGTGGAATACTAAACACCGTCTGGTGACTAGACTCTACTGTACAGAACAATCTTAAACTTGACTGTTTGATGAATACCGCACTAATAACTTGTTTACTAATATTTAAAAGTTGAATGACTGTTGAATATGGTGGCGAGTAATGATGCAATGATGTATCGAAATCAGAAAAAAATGCTCTGGTGATAATTCATTGCCTGAAAGAACGGTCGGTATTACCCGGTGTTAATGTTAATTTATATTGCCGCGCCGCGCATCTTCTCGCAACCACGATCTGTAGATCGGCGAGATGCGAAGGATTGACATCGTGAATCAATAATTTATACTACCATGGTATAATTAATAATACAAATGAATTAAGTTCGCATTCGGAGTATTTTGACTTTTCGGGAGGAAACAAACAACGATTGGCTGTTTTGAATTTTGAATTAATCTAAATAATACGAAACTGCTTTTCTTGAGCTCATAACATGGGGATTTATCAAGTTTCTTTGCCATATGATGTGGAAATAGCGCGATAATGGAAGTACGGGTATAATTGGAACTAAGATAGTTTACAATTCTTAATAACCGTGTTTGATAGCTTAAGAATACAAGATTTAACGACTTGTATTTTAGAATTTTTTATAGAAAATCGTTTCGTTTATCGATTGAATCAATTTCAGTTTTACCTGTTCAAGTTTTATCGAGTTATTTTATCTTAATTTAATGTGTTTTCAAAAAAGTTTATTAGTTAGTTTTACGAAATGAAATTTTCCTTTTACAAGAGCTCCTGATACCGAATCATTGTTGGTTTTGAAAAATTAAACAACAATTTGAGCTATAAAGTCACGCCTCATGCTAATTTACAATTAACATATGTTCATAGTTCGCGCTGGATCCATCAGATACACTGTGCAATTATCAAAATTCGTATTTACAAGCTTTTTCAACCATGATGAGATATGGGAATTGGGCGGTGAAAGTCTTTAAAAAATTAAAAATTTCTGCCGACATTTAGTTACCAGTATCAAGTATCATCCACGGGTCTTTTCGACGTGAAAGCACCAAAACTAAAAATATTAGGTGGAGTTCAAGTTTACAGTTCTACCCAAACATCTTAAACGTAAAAACTTGTTGATTAAACATTTCCACAGTTTTTTAGTCCCTATCTACCCAGTTGTCCAGCACTTTTTCTACAACTAAACTTCGCAGTTATTCTATTTCTGATGCAAAAGACGTCCTCCCCGTCACTTCTTACTCGATTCACCCTCTGAAATTTAATTTGCGTTAAAAGTTCATCTAATTTGCAATGTTGCGGTTAAAAGAGTGATAAAGTAGAGGAGTATTTATGACTGCGATTACTTAGAATTTAACTGCGTCCGGCTTGAAACACCGTATTGGCATGACACCACCCCACGTGTCATGAAGTGACACCCCACGTGTCATGAAGTGACAACTTACCCTTCTCGATGTCTGTAGTCTGGCCGTGAATGACAGAATGAGCGGCGAGTATGTGTCGTCTCTGTTCTCGCTTGACGTTTTCCCTGAGCGTTTCTTTTTCCGTTTCCGGGAGCAGGAACGAGTAAACAAGCTCTGCTACCATGTTTTCAGATTGTAATCTATCTCTCCTGGTTCGAGATTATCTGTTATTGAAAAGTATAATAAATTCAAGTTCAAATCCAGTGTGGCAGAAAAGAAGCCTCCAGCATGGTAGAACGTTTCATACCTGGCTCTGTTAATATTGAAACTTAAAGCGACAGGGGGGGGGGGGTCACGGGGTCAGACTCACTTGCTCTCCAGTTCGTAAGCAATCTCGTTGATCTTCTCTGCTTTCGTCTGGATTTCTTCTCTTGCCTGAGGGAATAAATTAGAAATTTAAGACTCCGTATGATTTAATGGTAGCAGTAAGTAGAAACCATGAATATGATAGAATAGATGACAATGCTTATTAATATTCAATATCTGCTCAGCAACATATTGAAAACTAATGTCCCATCACGTGACCCTAACCTGTTCGTCAGCAGTCCTGTCCACACTCCTCACGATGATGTCCTCTAGATAAGTCTCCATTGTGCCCTGGTGACAATTACACATGTGTCTCCAGATCTCATCCTCCTCAACTCTTCTTCTTTCTTCAACTTGTCTGCAGTTAAAACCCGTTCGTTTTATTGTGCAATGTAATGTATAATTATAACAGAGCATTGATAGTTTCGATTCAAACCTTTGGAACGTCAAACTAACAATCTAACTTTTTGGTGTGATGTTCCTTCGATGAAGTCAGAATTAATAAATTGAATTGATCGATAGCTTATGACTTTTAACTACGAGTCCACAAAATTGACAAAAAATAACTGTTTCATCAAAAAAATAACTGTTTCATCAATTAATAAGTGATTAACTTATTACATATAATTTTAAAATAAGTCAATGAGTAGTGAGTACACACCGTTTACCACTCTCCTCCGCCTCCCTCATCCTCCTCTTCCTCTCTGCCAATAAAGCAAAGGCGTGGATTCTCTGTTCCTCCTGGAGTCTAACCAACTCCTTGCTCAAGAAGTCTGCCATCTGACCAATATTCTTACCTCCCATACCCTCCAACATTTCGTTAGCCAGGTTCTCCTGCACAAGGGATTTTTAAATCGGATGTTTGATGCAAATGAAATTTCATTTTTCTCGATATTTCCCAAGCAGGACAAAATATGACCTCCAATCTAAAGTTAAGCTGACGTACATCACGCATTCAATGAAGCTCGTATTTATTTTTTATTCGAAATTTATTTAATTGAAACATGATATTTATGATACACTTGTATTGTACTTTTTCTGTAATTCCACTGAAGCTATGTTAACCTTTATCGGCCGACATTCTTAAATGGAACAAACAACAAACCTTGTGATGCATCATGCGCTGTTTTCGTTGCACTGCTCGTGCTGCTTTCTTAGAGTCCTTGTTCAGTTTCTCTGCTTCGGGCTTCAGAGCTTCAGTTGATCTAAGCTCGTTGATAAGTTCCATTCTCTTCTCTTTACCCTCTTGCATCTGGAATAAGCATGGTGATTAACCGGATAAACCTGGATTTTGACATCTTTTCAGCCGCGCAACCGGAATGCGAGCAATGGAAATTTATATATCTTTCAGCGCTCGTTTCTATGGAAACAATACGAAAAACTAGCAATAGGAAAGACGCGCATGAAAACTCTGATACCAATTTAAATTTTGTTTTACTTAAAAAAAATTTAAATATACCATGTTCTGAATAGCTCTTCCACGAAGAAGTTGTTGTAGGAATATGATGGCTAGTTCTCGTCTCTCATCCTCCTGAAAGTGAATTGGAATCACAGACGAAGTGGGAGAAGTCAGGTTTTAGCCTTACGTTGGAGTGAGTTCTATAATATATATAGATAGTGAGTTCTATATACAATAATCCACCAGACTTATTGAGGATTATATAGTCTGTGCACGCTTTTACTCTTTAAAGCTATCGAGTTTTTCACTGAACGAAGCAAATTAATTAATATCTCAAGTAACTTATTAATAAAAGCCACACAACAGATACAGTAAAACATACCTCGGAAGGAGTATCGACACTCGGCGTGGGAGGTCGAGGTGGAGGTCGGACCACCTTCTGTAGGAACCTGGGAGGTGCAGGAACCTCGAATTGTTTCTCCTTTTCTAACTTTATCAACTCTGCTGTATCATCAAGCTCCTTCAAACGTTTCTGAAGATAATGGTATGCAATTCAAACATATTCTCAGTGACATTGATAATGACAGGAAGATACACTGATTGGTAGGATAGCACGGAATGCCAATCATTAAGATGACCCAGTCACGAAAATCACCTGCTTCTTGATGTATCACCCTAAATTGATTGAAATATAATACTGTATAGGAAGGTATACAGTATACATTATCATATAGGAAGGTCTGAATTATCCGTACCTCAAATCGTTTCTTAGCACCACCCTTTCCAGAGATAAGGTTAGGAAGCTTGATACGTGGCTGAGTGACATAGTCTGGCAGCGAGTTCTCTAGTTCCAGTAAGCCTGCAAAATTACTTGTTAGATAATTTTGGGGATTTTCCTGATTGTTATTATGTGTCACGTGTCATTTTAAAGTCATCAGTATTACGATATAGCAGTTCACCACAGACCGCCTACATGTACAGTTTACTGATCCATGTTCTAACTAATTGATGATTATGTCATCAATAAAAAAGGAAATTGTAATCCAAATGGAACGGTCATTAAAAATCCTAAAAAAGTCTCCAAGAGATGACATACCCTCGTATGTGTTGAGATATCTATTCTTCACATTGTAAAGCTCAGATCCTCTATCCAGAAATACTCCGACACGAGTTTGTGGAGCATAGACCTGCACAGTATATAAGGTGAGACCAAGACAAACCATTGTTGTGTATAGTAGTAGTAGTAGTATCACTTGTTATTTAGAAATAACTTTACTATTCTTCATGGTGTGAATTATGGAAATCGTTTATACAGAAAATCGACTGTCACCTAATTCTATCATTTCTATCAAGGAGGAAATAACAATGTTTAAATTTGACTGTCTGTACTGTATACGTGTAGCTCGTAAGTGAGTCGTACCTGAGAAGCAAAAGAGGAATAGTCAGACACAACATTTCTTCGAGAAAGTTTGCCCTCGACTTTTTCCCTCTCCGAAGCTAGCTTCCTGAGGGCCTTGATGTTCTCCGTTCTCATCTTCTTGAATTTCGCATCCTTAGCCACCTGCTTTTTAGACCTGTAACAAATATAAAGCTAACAAACATTCTGATAAAATGATTCATTGATTATGTGCTAGAATGATTATAATAGGCTATATTCGATACCCCAATAGTTTCATGGGATATATAAAGTACTACCTCGACACTGAAGGATGTAACTAAAAAGATAACAAACATGAATTAGTAATACACCAAATGCCCGAACCAGAAAAGTTGTCTCACCAAATAGCATTGAGTCGTTCAGTGTTTGTACCGTTATTATCTTCCTCCCGTTTCTCTAAAATCTGCTTTAAAACCTGTATAAAAGTAATAGAGAAGGTAAGACAACAGTTTATCTACTTATTACTGAATTTCTCAAATAGCCCCTCAACTTCTGGTCTCTAGCCACGCCCCTCAACCCCCGGTCTCTAGCCACGGCCCTCAACCCCCGGTCTCTAACCACGCCCCTCAACCCCTGATCTCTTACCATACCCCTCAACCTCCGGTTTCTAGTTACGCCCCTCCCTCACCTGTAATCTGACTTGCTGAAGTTTCTCAATTTCCCTCTCCCTAATGACCCACTCCTTTCTCTCCAGCTCCTCCATCATTGCTCTACGTTTAGATAGTTGAGATACGTCGTCAACTGGAGGAAGCGTCTTCTCCCTAGCAGATAAAGTGAGAGTGAAAGTAAGGACTCAAAGTGAGAGTGAAAGTAAAGAATCAAAGTGACGTCATGTAAAGAAGTAAGATCAGTGTTTGTCGTACGGCGACCAAATAGCTAACAAATGTTACTGTTTACTGTTTACTGTTACTGTTTAGCTCCTTAGCAATGAAATTATAGGATTTATACAGTTTGGGATGGTTCACATGAAGAATTAAATGTTACCTTTCTAAATTAAAAACGATAAATGACCATTATATTCCCTACTATATAGAGAACAGATAAGATCTTTAAATTAAAACAGCAAGAAAACAACCCAATAAATTT